CGGGAGAGAAAAACCAGAGCAAGAAAAAACGTTTCTCTTCGATTCTGCATTAATTAACCCGAACGAGCGTATTCCAATTCATGCAATTCACCAATTTATCCACGAAACGTTCGATATTTTTTCGGCGCGAAAGTTCGATCCCAACGAAGAACGAAACAGACGATTTTTCACCGCGAGTTATTTTCCATTTTCGATTTTCTCCCGAGTTCCTGAGGCAAAAGTGATTAACAACGATCCAAAACGGTAAAATGGGCGTGGGATTAATCCTTTGAAAAGTATTCCGTTTTTCTCTGATTACCGATCGACCGTGAAAATTCGATCGATTTTTCGTATCGTGGCAATGTTTCACCGACGTTAACGAATTCTGTCAACGTAATTGGAATATATTCGTTCCACAGAGTTAATTACTTAATCGTCGGTGTACGATTTCGCGCCGATGGAACACTGTGCTTCTTATTCTCTCGTATTATTGTCTCTTATATTGTTATCTATATTTCTGTTGCAAAGATCCGAGAGAAAATTTTGATAAAATTTCAATACTTTAAAGAAAACGAAAAAATTAATCATATTAGATTTCGATCGATTATTATATTAAATTACTGACCTCAGGACAGAGAAGACGCGCGCCATTTTGCCAATGGCTCTGATCTTGTTTCTGATAACCTCCTTGCGTAGATTGGCTGCTGCACCTAGAAAAGTGAGAATATTTAGTTCGAACCATCTGTTCTTGAAACAAACTTTTCTTCTTTTTGTGATCCACGAAGTCGCGAAGGCATAATGCAAACAAATAGGATTTAGCACTAAAGTTACTAAAGAGCCTAGTGAATTTCTAGCGTGATGTCACTAGCGAACAATTCGTGTAAATTACTCATAATTAGAGCGTTGTCTTCGAAGATGATATTATAATGTATAAGTAGCTGCGAGAAACAAAGAAACGGAAAAAAAAAAAAATAAACATTGACGATTTTATGTAAAGCTGAAACTAGATGACAATTCGAGTTTTGATTTGCCTTCGCGAGATCTTGATCACGAATTCACCTCGCGGCTTTCATCGCGAAGTAAATTGAAATTTGGCTTCACTACATTATTCATACCACAGCTTATTCGAAGATGTTATTTAAAAAAAGAAAAAAAAAAAAAAAAGAAAAAATATATATGAAAAAAATTTTACTCGTTATTCTCGGGTTTCACGGCAAACAACAACGGCAAACTACAGCCAAAAAACTCGGTGCACGCGACGAGCGAGTGCATATTAGTCTCGATGTACCAACTTTTGATCTTTCATTTTATTTATCTGTCTTTTAGAGCATAGAATCTAATCTTAAAGATACGTATTTCTTTTATATATTTTTTCTTTTCACCCGACAAACTCGCGTAATTCAATTTAAAACCGTCCTTATTTTTTAAATCGTCACAATTATCTTTGATGGATATCTTCTATTCGTCTCTTATCAACGAACTGAACGAACAACGTAACGAATAAAACTATTCGAGAGAACTCGTTGAACTTACGAACGTAAAACAATGTAAAGCAAAAGGAAAAAAAAAAAAAATAAATAACGTCAAGAAAAAAGAGATATATCAAGCAATCGATTCTAAAACGATTCAAATTTTGCGCGCATCGCGATCAATCGCTTTGACGCATGCGCACAAATGATTCGCTACGATCGGCGCGCTATTTAAATTATGCGCTCGTATGTGTATATTCTCGATCAAAATACACACGGACTTTTTGCAATCTCTCTTAAATTTTATCGAATTTTTAAGTTGAATAGATAAAAAAAGAAAAAAAAAAATTAAAAGGAAAACCTTCGATTCGTAATCACGTATTGAAATATAATATAATATAATATATATATATGTATGTATATACGTAAAAAAATAGAAAGAGAGTGCACGAGGGTAATAGCACAAGCTCATTGCATATAATAAATGCGCGCAACTATATACACACGCGCGCGTGCACGTGTTACGAAACGGAAGCCGGTGTGCGATACGTGCGTACATCGTAATAATGACGTCTACAACAGGCTAAACAGGTTGCATAAACCACAGATTTTCTAAATTATGCAAAAAGATACAATGCAAGAAAAAGAGGTCAACACATGCACATGCAGGCTTTGAGCGCGAGTAAACGTACGCACCATCGGTCAACTAAGGGTGCTTTTATCAGTCGCTTGTTTTTTTTTTTTTTTTTTTGTATATTCGTCGCTACTTGCCTACTTTCTCGTTCGTATTTTCTCTTTCTTTCTTTTCTTTTTTTTTTTTTTTTTAATTACAATTTTTTTATAAAATTGTGTTTATACGCGTGTTCGTTTGCATTTTTATGCTCGCTTATTTCCAAGTCTTTAACCCGTATCCGTGTGTTAGAATTTTAACCATAAATATTAAGAATTTTTTTAAAAAGATTTTTTAAAATTTTATTTGGTTTTGTGTTTGGGATAATACGACAATGTTCAGTGGTTTTCTCATTTTCCATTCGTTATATTTAACAAACAAGCTCTAATTAATTTTAATTTCTCATTATGATGCAACAATTAAAGACGAATATTTTTCTGGAAATAATTATTATAATATATTATATACCGTAATTAAAAATAAAATATAAATAAATAATGAATAAATTAGAAATTTATATCTATGAATATATACAATTTAAATGACATAGTTTATGAGATATAATTTATTTAAATTGAGAATCACTGATTAATCATAAAGGATATTAAAATATTAAAAAAATCGGTCGTTAAATTTATGTGAAAAGTTGTTCGTGAAATTCCAGATACGGGTTAAGAAGCAGACTAAGGGTAATCAGACTAAGTAAAATATCGAATAATCTGAGAGTCGACCATTTTGAGTTCGCGAGTTAAAATACAAAATGGAGATTTATTTTTGATATCGAGTCTATATTTATCGAAGAATTCCTTTTATACATATATCGAACGGTATCGAAAGTTAATTAATTTCTTTCTATTCTTTTTTTTTGCAATCTTATCATTTTACTACTACAGCGAACAAATTAAAATTTATACATATCGTATATTTGTTCAACTTTTAAAATATTTCTTTTTTGGAAAAAAAAAAAAAAAGAAAAAAAGAAAAAGAAATATAATTTTCCTTGTTTTTTTTTTTTTTTTTTTTGTTCTGTTTAAAGAAGATCGAAAGGAACGAGTAAGTGATATTAGTCATTACTTCTTTAGAATTTTCTAAGATTTAGCTTGTTCGTTCTATATATATATAAAAAAAAAAAAAAGAAAAGATAATTTCACATGAATCGACATACGTGAAAATATCGTTCCGGTGTCGTTGTGTTTCCGCTTCTCTAAGCTTTCGCGAGTTAAATTTGCGGATGTCAGGTCTTGTGACACTATAGCAAATCGGGTAATTTTGTCACTTATACAGAAAAACAAATTCATTCTTGCTGATGAGAAATTTAGCGAATTAGGAGATTCTACTGGCTCTATTCTTTTTTTTTTTTTTCTTTACTTCGAATACTTCGAAACGGCAAACGATTAACTTTTAAATTCTTTTCTTTCTCCCGTTGCCTCAACGTCTTTTCCAGTTTGCAAATATTTTCCTACTTTTAATGGCATCGTTCAACGATGTTCAAATTTCGTAGCGTTGAACAGTGAACAAGGTTCAATTTCGCGAGGCCAACCACGTTTTAATTTCTCGTAATCCGCAATCGCGCGGCTGCGCTGCATGGAAAAGCTTTTTGCCAACGTTTTGCTGAGATGGCAGGAAGAAAACATTTCTGGAATATCCTTCGACGGTCCATTTCCCGGTGTAAAAAGCGTTGCACGAAACGTCAGCGTGAATCGAGAATTTTTCGTCGTTTATTTCGCGGAAAATTCGTACGAATTGCGTCTATTTATAAAGGGAATGAGGAAAAAGAAAAAAAAAAAAAAGGAAAAAAATATCATCGAATTTTGTTTTACTTCAATTATTTAGTCCAGTGAGTTAGGTTTGTTAACGTTCGAACTCGAGAAGTTATATAGAATACGAATCGATACTCTGTACGGACTGTATATGGAGTGTATATTTTTCTCTTCTGTTGGTCTCAATGTGCAAATTGAACACTGATGTTTAACTTGTGGATCGAAACAAGCTTCGTTATAAACGAAAATCTCGTTTAAATAATCTCTTACCAACTGTCATCTTATTTTACCGTATCGTAAGAAAAATTCTTTTCTTCGTAAAGTAAAGCGAAACGAAAATTCAAAAAATTCGTTCCGTACGAAATAAAGCTTTGCACATCCACGAATACGAATAGCCCAGAGGAGATGGCGTTTCCCGATCAATTCAACTTGCCTCATCAATACCAATACGAGCAGAAGCGATCCTCAACAATGTTCTCCCGTGTGCATTTTCGTATCGTTTCGTGGAGAAAATATCGAAAGCAAGGGATGGAAATTTTCAAGAAAGATTAGAAAAAAATGGGAGAGACTTCAGACAAATGGCACAGCCTCGAAAGAACGATCTTTCTACTCTTAAGGAGCCATCGTAACCGTTATATATTTTTTTTCTCCGTTTTTCTTTCTTTTCTTTTTTTTTTTTTCTTCCTTTGCGACCTCTTTGACGCATTCTTCCGAGGAGAAGAGCGCACGACGAAGAGATTTCAGGAGGAGGAGGACTCTCTGACTGAAGGAGCAGAACATTTATCGATCATCCTTTGCATCCTGCGGCTTTTCACTGAGAAGGACGATGCGGCACATACAACGACGTACGTCACTACTAATTTATACAACAGATCAAGCCTTTGCTCTCTAGACATTTACGTGTCAGCGCATGATTATGCACTCGTGGCCTGTCGCAATGGGATTGCTACCTCGAATCGTTTTCAAATTCATTTCCCTCTCATGTTTGCCGGGAACAATCTTCGTTTTTTTTTTTTTCCTTTCTTTAATCTCTCCTCATAAATCCCGTTCCGTGATTTTAACTCAACCCCCCCCAGCTACGATCTTTGAATTTTTGAACATCCTCAATTTCATCGAATAAGAAAGTTAACAATGTTAACAACATTTACTTAAGTGAAATTGAATTATTTCCTCGTCGAACGTTTCTCGTCGAAACGAGCGAGGAGAAAAATTTCAACTCGATGGAGAAAAAAAAAAAAAAGAAATGAAATTACGAGACATTCGTGACGAGTATTAAGGTCTCTCATGATCAATCTTGTCTGGGGATAAATTTACTTCTTTTTTTGAAAACGATACAAAGCTTCGTTCCTTCCCGTTCGTCTCTCTCTTTTCTTTTTTCTTTTTATCTTCCGATCCGCTCTTCTTTCACGACGACGACAACGACGACGACGACCGCCATTGCGACAGTGTACTACGACGAGCTAACATTTATCACAGGGTGTTCGAGTTTGGCACCGAGTCCCAGAGACGGAGATCCATCGTCGGGGATATATCTAAGGCGTTCTCAAAGGATGACGCATGATCCGGTCAATCGGGACGAGAATCGAGGAGGCGAAATCCGCGGATGGAATCGTTCGATCTCAAGCGGATCTGTGCTCAATACATATTGCACGGGGCCACTAGTTAGCTCTATTATATATCCACTGTTTTAGAAGCGTTTCTAAGAGGCGTAACTTCGCTCTTCGAGCCGATTCAACACACACTCGATGAATATCTTCGTGTTATTAAATCGAAATTATTATCTCGATTAAGGAAGGGAGAAATTCTGATCGAGAGAGAGAGAGAGAGAAGAAAAAGAAAAGTAAACCGAACCGAAAAAAATTTAATCCAATTCTTTTTCCAAAAGATCTCAGCTCGAAGAATCGGTGAGAAAGATCGGTTTGAACACAAGGTCGAACGTCCATAAATACGTGTTGTTCCAGATGGATCTCCGTGCCTTTCGATGCATAGGCGCCGCCTAAGGGCGCGAACTCGAGCATCTAATTAATGTATTTTCGAACATTGCGACGCCTATGGAACTCGATTTGGTCGATGCCTTCTCACGCGAATTCGCTTAATCAACATTAGGAAAGCTTCACGAGCCCAAATCTCGTCGAGGGACTCGTGATCACTCG